CAGAACGCACTTCTCAGCCTACTATTCAAGGCCCGATTTGCCTAATAAGCCAAGTTTTCCTGAATTAATAGATTTTCTCAAATTGTTTTCTTATTAAATGATAAAGCTACCCATTTCATTATGTATGAGGTCAATTAGTTTTTATTGGAGTTAAAATTAACGTAGATATATGACCGAACCTAACCAACCCTACCTAACCTAACCTAACCTATCTTTATAGCTTAGGTTAGGTTAGGTATCCGAAAAAGTTAGGTTAGGTTAGGTTAGGTAGGTTAGGTAGTCGAAAAACAATTAATTCATGAAAACTTGGCTTATTAGGCAAATTGGGCCTTGAATAGTAGGCTGAGAAGTGCGTTCTGGCTACTAGGTACGACATATATATATATATATATATATATATATATATATATATATATATATATATATATATATATATATATATATATATGTCGTACCTAGTAGCCAGAACTCACTTCTCAGCCTACTATTCAAGGCCCGATTTGCCTAATAAGCCAAGTTTTCCTGAATTAATATATTTACTATAATTTTTTTCTTATGAAATGATAAAGCAACCCTTTTCTCTATGTATGAGGTCAATTTTTTTTATTGGAGTTAAAATTAACGTAGATATATGACCGAACCTAACCAACCCTACCTAACCTAACCTAACCTATATTTATAGGTAAGGTTAGGTTAGGTAGCCAAAAAAAGCTAGGTTAGGTTAGGTTAGGTAGGTTAGGTAGACGAAAAAACATTAATTCATGAAAACTTGGCTTATTAGGCAAATCGGGCCTTGAATAGTAGGCTGAGAAGTGCGTTCTGGCTACTAGGTACGACATATATATATATATATATATATATATATATATATATATATATATATATATATATATATATATATATATATATATATATATATATATATATATATGTGTGTGTACCTTATAAGGGTGTACCTTATCTATACATACCCATTTCTAATTTATTTAGTTTGGTTTTATTTTGAAATTAAATCTGAGTGAGACATAAAATAAAAATATGCTGCACAAATGATGTTAGGTAAGGAGAAGGGTAAAAATGTCACAAACTTTATTCATTGAATACTTAAAGCTATAATTATGACTATATAGACTATTAAAAAAGAGAGAGGGAAGTAGGGGTCCAAGACCTCTTCCTGTTATACAATTTGGGTGTGGAACAAGTAATTATCAAAAGAAGGAACCATGCCTGGAAGGCTATGTAGCAGTAAGGCAGTGAGGTGAGGCAGCTACTTATTTGAGAAATGCTTATTTTATGTACCATATAAGCTGTGGCAACTTATTTTATTTGAGGAATACTCAGCTGATTCCTCTACATTTAGCATGGAACAAATTTGTGTCCAAGACCTCTTCCTGTTAATCAATTTGGTTGTGTGTAACCAAACTAGAAGTGCTCTACAAATCAAGGGACCCAGAATGTGGAATGACCTCCCGAATCATGTCAAAGGCTGTACCTCTCTCAACCAGTTTAAGTGTTAAACCAAGTACTGCCTAATTAACTCCATGTAACCTAACTTACCTCCTAAATGTCAACCCATGTCTTGCTATTTTTTAAACAACGCTGTTCACCAACATGTGTAATTGCTGATTTATGCTATTTTTAACCCCCCTTTTTGTATTTTTTATTCCTTCTTTCAATACAATTTATACCTCATCCCGATTACTATTAAGTTTTAGTCTGTGTTTTTTTCCCCCACACCTTGCCCGAAATGCTATGAGTATTAGTGGCTTTAGGTATTGTATGTACTAGCTCTGTCTATAAATCCAACATTATGTTTGTAAATCAACTGTATGTACTTTTCCTGAATAAAATGTACTTATTATTTATTTTTTAATCAGTAAGTATTAAAAGAAGGCACCAAGCTGGGAAGGCTATGTAGCACCATTGTGTGTAACAATAAACCAAATTTTTTTTTAACAAATAATGCACCTGTATGGTAAAAAATCCTGTCAGCTGTAAAAATATTGATGCAGTTATTTAAATGAAAAATATAATGAAAGAAATATTACTGGTTTATTTTTATCCTATCTTTTTGTACTGTACAGTATATCCAAAGAAGTGAAAAATTGAGACATAATGCACAATATAATGAATGATTAGCATGGATTAGCAGTTCAAAAGAAATATGACTATTACATATGAACATGAGATCTTAATGATCCATGGTCAACATGATTTAATAAGGATAATACAGTACTGAATTTGTAATAATACAAACTATAATTTAAAATCTTTATTACTGATTTTTTTATTAAGAAGATTAGGTATACACAGCAATGTGCTGCTACCCTATTCTATATGGAATATTACACAGTGTAGATAAAAAACTAGCTATAAGTTTATCTAATACTCCCATCTCACAGGATGGTTAGACATACTGTACATGGAATCAATTTAGAAAATACCAGCCTCAATACAAAAAACAAATCAACTCTGACTAAACAACTCTAAGCAATTTTCACAAGAGGTAAGCACTGAATCATGGAAACATTATATTATAATTACTCTTACCAGTTTCTACAAAACTCCTCTCAAACAATGTATTTTTAAACATGTTTAGGTATACACAGCAATGTGCTGCTTATCTATTCTGTATGAAGGACCACACAGTGTAGATCAAAAACCAGCTACCAGCTCACCCAACATCCTCACCTCACAGGATGGCCAGTCATACATGGAATTAGGAGAGAACAAAATACTTAATGCTGATCTATTAGCCTCCACTGGCAAAATCTGGGTGCAGCACAAGAATATCTTCCAATATTCCTGAGTGTATGAAGTAATTACAGAGCTCAAAATACCTTATACCATTTGGTATGAAGTCACTGATAACAGGGCAATCACAGATATAGTGTTGGAGAGTATGTTCTCTCAAGTAGGACTGAAAACAGATGTTTTTTTCCACCAAGAGAGCTATAAACCCATGGAACCGCCTACCCGCTGAATACGTAAGTGCCAAATTCCAGCTAAAAAAATATTAAGACAATTGGCGGGCCCTTTAACAAGCCGCCGGCTTTCTGTCCTCTTCGAGGCCACTAGATAGTTAGTGGCCCTTGGGTTCTTAGAATTACGTAGGTAAACAACAAATGTAACATATTTGTTTACTACAATGTCGGTGCTGGCTGTAGAAGTTGAAAAAACATTGTTTTACTTCGAAATATAAAATTTCTTCCTAAGTGGACCTTATTGAATCGCACCTAAGCATCTTCTTAGGGCGCACTTAGGAACCTTCGTAGCAAACCCACTTACGAAGAAATACACAGAGCTTCCTGAATCGGTTAGGCCCCATTTAGATTATGCAGTTCAGTTTTGGTCGCCGTACTATAGAATGGATACAAATTCACTAGAACACGTCCAGCATAGGATGACAAAGTTAGTCCCGCAAATTAGAAACCTCTCATACGAAGAAAGATTGACAAAGCTTAAATTGCATTAGCTGGAAAGGCGAAGAGTTAGGGGTGACATGATAGAGGTGTTTACTGGTTCGGTAACAGGATTGTTGATTTGTGGAACCATTTACCGCGTAAAGTGGAGGTGGGGTCCGTTAATTGTTTAAAGCGTGGGCTGAACAATACGCTATGCGTATTAGTGGCTTTAGGTATTGTATGCACTAGCTCTATAAATCCAACATTATGTTTGTAACACATCATCTATGTATGTACTTTTCCCGAATAAAAATTTGAATTTTGAATTTGACATGTATGTGGGTGGGATATTGCGTGGTTATAAATAGGAGATGCCTCGTATGGGCCAATAGGCTTTCTGCAGTTATCTTTAGTCATATGTTCTTATGTATTAGGTGATAGGAAACGTGCCGAAGCTGTACATGCCAAAACTGTTAAATATTAAAATCCAGCTGGAAAAACTCATCACGGTAAATAGGAACAGCCTCGTATAGGCCTTCTGCAGTTACCTTAATTCTTATGTTCTTATATAACATAATGATGTTATATAAGAATATAAGGTTCAGGTTCAGGAGCTTGTACACCAATTGATTGACAGCTGAGGGGCGGGACCAAATATCAAAATCAAAAATCAAAATCAGAATCAAAATGTTTATTCAGGTAAAGTACATACATACAAGGTGAGATACAAACATTGATTTATTTATTGATAGAGCTAGTATATACAAAGCCTAAAGCCACTATTACGCAAAGCGTTTCGGGCAGAAATAGTCGAAGCTCAGCCCCGTAAGCACAACTAGGTGAGTCCATTGGCATGACCATTAGGGTGTGCGCCATCTATATTTTGACAGCAGCACTACACATTAACCCCGCGTTATTCTATATCCAATACATGAGTGTTATGGTCAGTTGCTAGTCTATATATGTTTCTGGACAAAGTAAGTGATGTGAGGCTTGTTGCGGGCCAAGATCGGTAGTAACTGTTTGTATTGTGTTGGAAGAGGATGTGAAGGCCAGTGTGGTAGACTAGCGGGTAAGTAGCGAGTCTTGTAGCTTTTTAAAGCGCGTCTTTGTAATTCTTTTGTGCTAATAACCAATTTTAGGCTGTTTAGTTAGGTTTTGTTTGAGATTTATTTAATGGGTATCGCTAGTAATATAAAGGGGGGGAGGGAAATTGTATAGATAAAAGTAAATTACCTGTGTAAGCTACATACGGTTGAAACATAATTGCACAGATCGTTATCTTGCGGAATAACTCAAGGTTTTTTTAGGGTTGATGGATGTTAATCTTCGTTTGAAGAGCTGTTAACCTGACAGTTAAGGAAAGTTCCAGCTGTCTGGGTACAAGTGACAGGATGAACCCGGCGAGTGTTGTACATGCTGCTATGGCGGTGTGTCCACTCAAAAGAAGAGTGGCGCTGCCCAATAAACTCGCCCCTCGGGGCAAAATTTAAAAAAAAAAAAGTGCCGGAACCCCTAGTGACCTTAAAAAGGTCATGGTCTTGTCAATTCCCGCACTTTTGAAAGCGGTTTAAACAGTACGGCTTCGGCGGTTTCATAGGCTTATACCTATGTGGGAACATGTCCTAGCAACCACGTTAGACGCTTAATCTGATTGTTTTGAGCTTTTAAAAAGCCTCTTCAGCAGAGGCCGTCCCTTTAATTACGCCTAACGTGCGGCTGGAGTTTTTAAGTGTACTTCTCAGTTAAGGACAAAGACAAAAGGTCGTGTATCGAATAGATTAGGGAAAGTTTGAGGTCTATCTAAAACTGTCAGAAGTGATAACGGAGATAACTAGGTTTTTATTCTGTATTTACTAAACATTATCAGCCGAACAAGACTTTGGGAGTACAGGTTGGCTAATTCAGCAGTTACCAGGGAGGATGGTGGTTTATTTAAACAAATGGTAACTCTAGTCTGATAGTTTTTGCCAGGGTGCTTAAAAAAAGGGCAGCTTTGAGAGGTTTATCACTTATTAGTCAGGCAGTACTAGACGTGTGAAGGTACTAATGTGGTACCAGTTTCAAAGGAAAACGAAAATTTTAAAGAATTTTTTATAAATTATTCTAAGGTTACCTGATCAACCAGGCTGTGACTCATACGTCAGGCTGCGAGCAGCCAAGTCGAACAGCCTGGTTGATCAGTCCAGCAACCAGGAGGCCTGGTCGACGACCGGGCCGCGGGGACGCTAAGCCCCGGAAGCACATCAAGGTAAGGTTTAATTTCCTTGTCAAATTAACGGCCAATTAGCTTGGTCTATTGTGGGAAGTTACTTTAATCTTAAAACTACAAATATTTGTATTCCTCTTGGAAAAATCATACATAAATTGCATAGTTCTACTATTAGCTGTTAATGATGTAACACTTGCATAGTTGATGAAATAGTGATAAGGTTTGTGATGTGTACCATGACTTTAGCAAAACTTTTTTTTGATAGTGCCAAATGGAAAAAAATGATAGGCTCAAAATATTGGGTGGTGTATGAAGTTTAGAGCATTGCTATACCAAAGTGGTTAGTATAAATGGTGTTAAAGGAAATATTGTTGGTGCCTCAAGGCTATTCTGGGACCTCGGTTGAAGATGTTGGAGCAGGAATAATTGCAGAATTGCAAAATAAAAAAAATCGGGAAAGAAATACTTGCTATCACTTAGAGGATGGTTTTGAAATGGTATAATTGCCAGATGCAGTCTAATGCTGACAAATACAAGGTTTTGAGGCTAGGAAATGATAGTACAGATAAGAGCTAGATGGTGTGGATTACAAGAGGGACCAGAGTTTGATAAAAAATGCATAAATGTTCATAATTGGGGCAAATGGGACGGTGATTTGTCAAAGCACTAGTAATAAAATACCTGGTATTCTCCAGGTATCTTGCTCTTGTTAAAGCCCCATTTAGGTGATGCAGTTCTGGTTGGCATGCTATAGAACGGCTATAAAATAATGCATTCAACGTAGGATGAGTTAACCCCACAAATTGGGAAAGTGTTGTATGAAAAGATTGAAAAGGCATAAATGCATGCCTCTAAAAAGGCAAAATTAGTGACATGATAGGTGTAAAAGTGGACAAATGGACATAAGGGAATATTAATGGGGTATTAAGAGTATGCACAAGACGACCCCGAAACAAAGGGTATGAATTGGATAGTTTAGCTTTAGGAAAGACCTGGGTAAATACTAGTTCGACAAAAGGGTTTTGGTTGAACAAATTAACGCGTAACAATGTGGAAGTGGGATCCCTAGATAAATCCACAAGGGCCGTGATGAGGATTGTAACCTGCGTCAAAGAGCATCACTCTGCTTTAATAGACTGAGCACATGGTAAAATCTTTTACCATGTCGTAGCTCAATCGATTAAGGCAGCGTCTGGGATGCTCTCGGACGCAGGTTAGAATCCTCGTCACGGCCCTTGTGGATTTGTTCATCTAATGCATCACGTTGTGATTTGTGATCCCTAGATAGTTTCAAGCGTAGGTAAATTGTTCAGTATAAGTGGGTGGATATAAGGAGCTGCATTGTATGGGCCAACAGCCCTTCTGAAGTTACCTTCATTCTTATGTTCTAACCTGCTTAGGCCTAGTTTTAATCGGAAGCTAATATGGCTATTAACTAGAAAGTTAATTAAAATATTTAAATAGTGAAAGCCAAAGTTGATAACAATGTATACTGTTGACTGAAGTTAAATAGGTGTTGCATCACCATACCAAAGCTTTAATCTTGGTAATCTAGTTTACAGCACTCCTTACTTACAGAACAGCTGAAACGGCTGAAACATCGGGAAGAAACGGAGGAGACCAATATTAACAAGACCTCGTCGTGGATAGTCGTTAAGGACAGGGGTCTTGAAGACCTTGACAAGGCTGCCTACAGACGCCCTAAGGACAGCAAATTCATTTGCCGTGTTGGACGAAAAGTGCTGTGGTGAGCCTGCAGTTCACTCGAAACGGAAATCGGCGAGGAGCGGCGAAGCGCAGACCCCTCAGGCTGCTCAGAAAGTTAAGGAGGTACCAACGCGAATTTTGGTTGTGGGAGATTCCCAGGTGAGGTATTTAGACAGAACGTTTTGTGCCAGAGATAGGGGGAACAGATTAAGGGTTTGCTATCCGGGAGCTGGAATTGGTGATATTGTTGGAAACATGAATGATATTATGACGGGAAATGGGAACAAACCCATTATTTGTATTAGTGCAGGGGGTAATGATGTTGGACGAGTTAGGAGTGAGGAACTAATAGATTCAGGACAGCCATTGAATTAGTTAGGAACAAGGGAGGAATCCTGATCGTGTCCCTTTCTTCAAAGAAAGGGAGTGGGTAATGAATGGATGTTGAGGCCACTTGGTGTCACTTGCCGGCTGGAAAGATATTGCAAATCAAATGCAATATCTTTCATAGACAACTGGAAACACTTCTATGGAAGAAATGAAATGTATGCTCGTGATGGGGTGCATCTATCGAGGGCTGGGGTTGTTGCTGTTGCAAACTCGTTGGAACCAGTGGTTAGAGGTGTTTGTTTGGGTTTAAACTGTTAGTAGTGTTATGGGAATTGATTTGGAGGAAGGAGGTAATAAAAGTATGTGTTCGTGGGAGAAAAGAATTGGCAAAATGATCAGGGAAAGAAAAGGGCCTCAAAATAACAATTCACTTAGGGTATATTGCACTAACAGTAGAAGTCTAAGAAATAAAATTAACGAATTAAATGCTCTTGTCTGCACAGAAAAAGATTATTGCACATGCCGAAACATGGATGAATGTAGAAAATAGAGGACTATTAGCTGAACATAAAATAAATGGATTTAAACTATATCAGATATATTAGACGAGGGGGAGTAGCCATGTATGTTGGGGACAATTTGAAATGTAGTCTCAGAGGGAATGAAAACTGAGCCACCCGCAAACTATTTGGATAGAATTAAAAGAAAGCAAATATTATAAGTTATATATAGGCCACCAAATTTAGACAGAATGGAAGCAAAGCATCTATGGGATGAAATATCTAGAGCATCTAGATCTAATAGTATTTGTCATGGGTGACTTTAACTTTAGTGGAATAAACTGGTTGAACAAAACGGAATAGTGAAGCAGAAGATTTTCTAGAATTAATTGAAGATTGTTTTCTTACGGAACACATTAAGGAACCAACGCGGGAAAATATTTTAGATTTAGTGTTAACTAACAGGGAAACACAAATTAATGACATCGAAATAGGGAGTGAGCTAGGGAACAGTGATCAGAGAAGTCAGATTTAGCATAGAATGGAATAGACCTGTAGGAGAAAATTCTGTTAAAGTGCCAGATTTTCGAAAAGCTGATTTTAATAGCCTAAGAAATTTTTTGGGTCAAATAGATTGGGAAGTCTTGGGTATGGGGTGTGGGCCGGTCTTGGAGAGACATGAACCCAGCAATAGGTGACGTAAAAGGGGATTTCGATGTGGATTTAATATATAACTTGTTTAAGAATATTCTAAACAAAGCACAGGAATGTAGTATACCATACAAATTGAATAGATCAAATACTAATGACCCAAAGTGGATAACAAAGAATTTAAAGAACCTTATAGGTAAAGAGAGCTTGGTACAAAAGGATTAAGCATGGGGAAGTCGGTTTAGAACAGATTCGTAAAACTGGTTAGAGATTAGGAAAGCAAAAAGAAACTATGAAGTTCGCATAGCAGAGCAAGTAAAGTAAAATCCTAAAGGGTTTTTTCAGTTATATCGAACTAAGACTAGGGAAAGGATAGGTCCATTAAAAACTGACAGGTCAAATAAAGGACAATGACAATAAAGGACAATGACAGATTAGTATTTTTAACAAATATTTTATCTGTATTTACTAAAGATTACTAAATTGCCTTCTGGTGCCCATTTGAAAACTGATCCACTTTGTGTTTAAATGTTTTGAGTGATTTTCATTTCTTTGGTCCTGCATAAATTTACTCAAAATATTCCTAAAATTTGCCATTTTTGTTAGTCTTTAATTAAATTGTATTTGCAGGTGGTAAATTGTTTCGGCTGCTACAGCTCTCCAGCCCAAGTTGTTGACTGGCTAGTCTTTGACTGCCTCCCAACATGTTAGTGAGGTCCTGAGCTGATGTACCCTATGGCGAAGAGTGAGGCACTAGTTTCCTGAAGTAATGTATAGCATGAGATGGCACCCATTCTAAACAGCAGCCGGCACCAACTCTGGCCGACGTTGGAGTGGACAAGCCCCAGATCCTGTGGGGAGGAAAAGTCTACACTAAACTGTAAAAGGTACAGATAATCTGACCTCCACCCACCTTGGCAGTTTCTCGGATACCCCCCTCTTTTCCATTTCCTTATTTTGTAAAGCTTTATCTTAAACGGCAGCATAGCTTGGCACTCGTGGCTTTAGTGGGACTTAAATTGGATTGTAACTGTGGGTGGGGGGAAAAGCATCTCTAGTTTTGTTCTGCATTGTAGTCTCTTTAAACCATTTTAATGTTGCACTCAACTTATTGTTCTTGACAGTTTTGCAAACTTAGATTTTCAGTGAAGAAATTGGTACCATCCTGTCTGACTTGCAATGTACCGTTTTTATTAATAGCAGTTTCATAAAGAATGACTTATTGGCTGGTATTAAATATCCTCTAAAGCAGATAAAATCGGTAAAGTGTCCATGCCTTGGTATGATTAGTTGGGCGAATGAGTGTTGTATAACTGCTTTCTAAAGTGTAAACTTTTATTTTCAGGGTGTTGGTTTTTCTCACTGAAGCTACCACTCGTGCAATTTTGATTGGTGATTGTGACTTAGTCCTCCTCGTGATCTACGGCAAGGTAATATTTTTAGCATTTGTTATGCTGCACATGTTAAGCTTTAGTTTTAAATTAGCTTGTCTTCAAATTACATGTGTTGATGACCATTTTTGTATGGGCTTCATACCCTTCACTTTAACATGAATTAACATCCTTAAGTCAGGCCAAAAAATAGAATATATGGTTCTGCGACGTTTAGTAATTTGTAAGACCTTTTCACTATTTTTAAACTATTGGTTTTTATCCATTGTAAGTTATTAAATGTGCTTTAACTTACCAGTAGTGTGGTAGGTTTGGAAAGCTTTAAAAAATCCATGTATCCAGAGTTGCTGGAGCTCCTATATTAGGAGCTTAATTTGCAAAGTAAATTTGCATGATAGCCTTGTTTATATAATTTTGGGGGAACCAACACTTTAAATATTTAATGGAAATGGTGACTGAATCCTACTTTAGATACCAAAAAATAACCAGAGCAAAGTGTACTTACAAAAGTAGGCAATTGTTCCATTAAATTTAGATAAAATTAATCAGTTTGGTAGTTCCAGGGAGATTTGTGTAGTCAGTCAGTCTTTACTATTGTGAATTGTAGTTTTATTAATTATGCCAATGCTACTTTTTATATTGAGTCTTTGCACCTGTTTCCTAAGATTGACAGCATGAGGTGAATCTTCCAGCTTCGGTCTTGGGAAGTTGTAAATAATTAGGTAATATAACTTTTATTTAAAAGAAAATGAAATTAAAGTGTAGCATAGGCTTGTATCTCCCTTGGGAGAGTTGTCAAACCCATAGATATTTCCTTGTCAAAATACTTTAAAGGTTGTAAGTTGTGCCTATTGTAATTTAGCATTAACGTATTGTCAGTCTTAAAGGGCATGACAATGATTAGGTTTATAATCTAGTATCTTGGCATAGACAACAAATTTGAATCTACTAAAATACTAAATTGTATAATTATCAATTAACATTGATGCACAATGAATGTGGTACTGCAGTTTAATAATTATGGTCCACAATTTTGTTAAAAATTTGAGTGAATATTTCCAGAAAGTTTATTGTGGCCATACCTGTTGGAGTAGTAAAGACAAACGTTCAAATTGCTCTTCTTGATGTAACCCCCAAGCTGTAGGCTGCTCTTATTTTAAGAGGTAATCTTATTTTACTTGTGGGAAAACTGGCGACTGTAATGATTAATCTCTACTCGATATACAGGCTCAATAGTCTCTGTAGTAAATGTACTGTATTGTCAATGAAGTACACAAGTCTTAGGTGATCCATTGGCTGAGGAAAATCAAAAGTTCATTGAAATTAATTTATTGAGGTAAAATCCAACAAGGGATGAGGTAGCTAAGGCAGTTCATAAGTTGTCCTTATTGGTAGTTCAGTAGTTTTTTAGCTAGCATGTTGCATAATAAAAAAAATGGTTAAAATGTTCATTGCGCACACCATAATGGCCGTCAGATGTTAAATGTCAGACTAAGGGGTGAGATTAGTGGTAAATGTGACATTGATCAGTGCAATGTTACTAGATTCTTGAAACTTTCCCTTGCATGGTCAAATTTATTATGTAATTATTTTAATTTGTATATTGGTTTGGTGTGCAAATGTTATTGTAAGTTTCATAAACTTTCTAATGCGACTTGTTATACTGAGAGCACTTTATGAATATTGAAGTACCTAAGTTCATAATTTGTAAGCTTAATAGTAACAAAGTATACTAAAATGTATTAATATTTTCTCTTGACAGGTGGAGACGCATTATCTGAAATGGCTGTTGCAATGTATTGAAATTAAATTTTATTAACTCTGGGTTAGTTAGTCACTTATTGTAAATAGTGATGAATTGTGGTATTTTAGTTGTTTCTCTAATTTTATTGAAACGAGCTTTTTCAGTGTTTTGGAATGTTTAATAAGGTTCTTGGCACCATCTGTGTCTTGACTACAAATTTACTTGTTACTAGATTATAAATATATTGGTGTTTTGGGCAGTTTACCTTGTTTGAGCAACAAGGTGATGCAAGGCAGTTTTTTCCCAACTTGGCTGTAGTTGTTAAAGCCAAACATAACTTAGAAACGTTGGTTGCAAGTTTGTAGTGTGGTGCATGGGATTGAAGGAATAATCACCGCTCCACATTGATAAGATAGATTACTGTTGCATTGAAGTCGGCAAGTTGAATAAATGTTTTGGAGAATATTGTAGTTATAATATTGTACAACATTGTGTTAATTAGAATAATGATCATAACTTGGTGAAAGGGTGGTTATTATATTGGTTTTCAATTTTATAATTACTTTATTATAGCAAATGTTTGTTTTTGAAGGTAGTTAAAATCTAATTTATATATTACCTGTTGGTAATATAGTCGCCAACATCAAACTTAAAGTATACAAGGCATTATAGTAAGTCTTTACCAAAGTTCATGTATATTAGGATACTTAATGTAGGTGTACATAAGCTAAAAGTTGAAAAAATGTTAATAGAACACAATTGTATAGATTATCATTGCCCATACTGTAGATATTAGTGATGGTAAGTTTTCTACTAAATGAGGTCCCCCTTCCCTTTCTGGCTGTCGTCGTGACAGAGTAGGTGGGGGGGGGGGGGGGGGGTAAACGCACAACTGTCAGATTAGTTTCACTTCACATCTGCAAGGTGACAATCTTTCATAATTTCACATTCAATGATCTTGTAATATCGACACATTGGTTTTTAAAAACAAACCTCACTTTTGATAGTATCACCTTTTGATAGTAAGACCCTTCAGCCACCTATCATTCTTGCTGGTGCTAGGTGCCCTGTTCAAGAGTACATCCCCCCCCCCCCCCCTCACTCATTGTAATAAGTGAGGCAAGTTCGAGCACGGTGCCCTCAAATGCACAAGTCTTCGTTTCTCTCTGCCCCATGTGTGGGGACGATAGCCACTCTAAGACGATTGCTCATATCCCCCGGGCTCGCTACCTGCATTGCGGCGAGGCCCACCCTACATTCTCTCGCACGTGTATCGACTCAAAGCTTGAAGTAGTCCTTATAACTTGAAACACCAGGATCATTTGACTTTTCCCGAGGGAAGACACGGTTTGCAGTGTCCACCCCTTCACTGGCGTATCTTATGCTCGCACGTTGTTCTACCTCTCGTCCTTCCCACCTTTGTCCCACAACCATTTCTAGGCCTTGGACCCGAACATGCCCACCACCTACCCTGTTCCTTTACGTCCTGGGTCGGAAGGTGTATCTCGTGAATCTCCTTCTGGATTCCCCCCCCCCCACTTTCGTTTTCCTACCCTGTCTGCCAAGTCATCTCGTTTTCCCCGATCCTTCCTGTCCCTCCCCACTACCTCTTGGCCCTCCACGTCGCCTGTCTGTCCAGGCTGATGTCTATCATCCTCCCAGCAATCTTGATGTTGTTCACTCCTATTCGTCACTTAAGACCCTAGTCAGTCGGCCAGTACGATGTTACTGGAACACCTGTCCGTCAGAAACGTAAGCCTGGCTCCTCTCCATCCTCCTCCCCCTGCGGGTAAGAAAAGAGACGGCATTCCTTTCTTCCTCTCCCTCCCCCCCTAACGAATGCTTACTCCCCATTTTATTGGTTGGGGCCCCCGTCCCTAATGTGGAAGTTTCTTTTGGCCCAATTCCCTCTTGGTTGCTGACCTAGAGTTTCTACCCCCTATCCTCCTGGCCTTGACAGCCCCCCCCCCCCCCTCCCTGAACCCTGTCAATCTGCCTCTGGTGTCTTGCTCTTTTTTTTCCCTCCATTCTAAGTTAACCCATGGCCCGCTAAACCTTATTCTGAACTTTAGCTTTTTTAATATGCTGTGTTATTTACGTTTGTTTCTTTGTTCTGTTGCTGTCCTTTTATTTTTTTGATAATGTCAATTCCTCAATGGAATATTCATGGGTTTTATGCTAACTCCCATGAACTCCAACTTCTGTTTAGGTTTCACCACTTTGTCTCTGGGAGCCGATGCTTGGTGCTCGTCGCGATAACTGTCGTGGTTATTCCTTTCTTCCCCTTCCCCCTTCTCCTCCCCCCCCACTTTATCTTGCTGGGGCCCATAACTCTATTGGTCTCTTGATTCGTACTGATAATCCCTTTGTCCTACTGTTTCCATGTCCTATCCATTATTTTGCTGGCCATGTTTTTACTAAAATGTAGTCTGTTAAATTTTTCCCGCAAATGTCCCTCTTTCCCTTCCTGATGTCAGGAACCTCCTGGACTCCTTAACAGAGCTGGTGTTCCTGTTGGGCTATTTAAACTGTCGACATACCCTTTGGGGTGATGTTGACACACCCGAGGCGGCCTTCTCGAACCATTCATTCTCTTCCCTGTCTTGATCTTTCTCTGATCGTCTCTGTACTTGGATATATCGTGGAGGGTTCATAACCTCCATAAGTGACCATTTCACCATCCTTGTTTTCCCTTGTCTTTTCACCCTCCCCTCTCCTTCCCTAGGTGGCAGTTTGGCAAAGCTGATTAGAACCTATTCACCCTCCGTGCTACTGTGACCTCTCCTTACTACCTCTTCCTTGCACCCTCCTCGTTTTCATTAGTCTTCGATGCTACTCTCTATTCCTTGCTCTACCTCCCAGGGCACACGGAAGTGCGTTCCCTGGACTGCGGATTGCTAGGGTTGTCGGCTGTAAGTGTGCAGGTCTGGAAAAGACTGACGCTGGCAGATGGCTGATTCTTATATTTTGTTTCAGAAAGTGCAGTGGCCTGTTGGACCACCTGGACAGCGAGGCGCGAGAGTTGGAAGTGTTTCCACCATTACGTCAGATACTCCTCTGCCGCAGATTTGGAAGATTTGCAATATTGTGGGTAAGCTCATTCCCTATGACTAGCAGGTTCTTCACCTCTGTGGTACTCTGGTGGTGAAGCCAGTGGAGGTCACAACCGAACTGGGTTCTCACTTGTTAGCTGTGGTTCTAATCTTCAATTTTTCCTTAAACACGTTATTGAATCTCGTGCCTTAAACTTCCACACTCGGTGGTACTACATAGCCTTCCCGGTTTGGTGGGTTTTATAAGTTTTTACTAAATGAGGTTTAAGTTCTTTAAAAGTGGCAAGAAATGGCAAATACATTTAGATCTGTGTACAGTTTGCTTATCTATTTAAAATTAAATCCCATTTGATCAGCAAGCAAGCAAACAAGAGTGATTTGGCATGAATCCTGGGCGAGTAACTGTATCATCTGTTTAACGGTGTAAAATTGGTACCTAGTTAAATTTTTAGTGTTCTGGGGTAACATGGAATAAAGTTATTGGCCTAAATGGTACGCATGCTTGTGGCTGTACAAGAATGAAAGATCTGTCGTATTGTTTTTTTTTTTGACATAAATAGCAACAACTCTTGAGTTTGCTTGGCATGTTTCAAATAAATGTTACCAAAGATATATGGGGGAGGGGAATCGTAAACTATAAATTTGAAATGCAAATTTTGTAGCATATAAACCTTAAATGTGGACTTCAAAGTGCTCTGTCTTCTAATTTATAAATTAGATATGGTGGGGGGGGAGGGGGGAAGTAGATAATTTGTTAGTGTAACATTAAAATGACAAATATTTTAAAGTTAAACAAAATGAAATTGCTATGCAAAACCTTATTAACCATATTTAATGTTCCATTGACAGGTCCTTCCGACATAACTTCAGGAACAGTTGCAGAACAATCGCTGGAAGTGTTAAATGCTACAGAAAGTAGCATAGTTGTCGGAATTAAGAGGGCCAACGTAAGTTTATTTAGTTTAATAGGTAAAATGTGTTTACATAATTTTTACATAAATATTTAATAAATTGTGAAGGGGCCTTGAAATTGGGTAAATTGAAACTAGTTTAAGGCCTTGACTAGTGGGTACTATATCCTAAAGTTAATTCTTGCAAGAATTGTGCTTTGAATAGAATAAATGGGACTTTAAATTTGTGAATGTAAAGTTGGGCACTAACTGTTAAACGGCATAAATTTCAAGTTAAAGATTTTATTTAATGTTTTATTTAAATCTTAATTTGTTTGCATGGTTCTTAATTATTTGGCTAGAAGTCATTCATTTATAAATTACACAAATCACAATGTGATATTTGTAATGCACAAGGGCTGTGATGAGGGGTTCAAACTTGTCGGAGGATCCCAGATGTGCTTTAAGGCTGTGCCACAACATGGTAAAAGAATCCCAACTGGGAGGTCTACTGACATCATGGATTTAATCTACGTTTGTAGCTTAAAAGGCTGTTCATAAATTAATCATTTAATGATGGTATAGTACACAAATTAAATATTGAATGGTAACTGTACTTCAACTTGGTTTATTTATTTGAAGCTTAAATAGATATTGTCTTTCAGAATATTGATGGGAAAGTCGAACTTCAGCCCTGAGTTTGAAGGTGTTAATTGCTTGACATTCTGAATTAGGTGAGTGTGGTAGTAAACATTATAACTTGATCACTCATTATGGCTGAAGATAATCTGAAATGATTCTTACATGTAGATAAAATAAATTGCTGAGAGATATTAGTGACTTTAATGAACTTATGGTTAGTCAAACTAAGTTTAATGTTTTTGCTTGATTAGCATTAAAGGAGAATTCTAACAATCTTAATTGTAAGATTAAGGGAACCTGCATATGTAAAATCTTGTTTAACAAGCTAATTTGGGTAAATGTTTCAGGTGGTATGGAAGATTACAATGTCATCAAAGCATTGACTGGCTTCAGTGTGGTTGTTCTACTCTGCAAATCTACGAAAGTTGGTATGTGGAATTAAGTGTTTTAGCTATGTCAACTAATTAATTTACTTTCTTTCATCTAGTCCATTTATAGATGTGTACCAAAGTCCTACTGTTACCACCTGCAGGGATTGATGCAGTTTGTACTGATCCTACCCCATTTCATAGAAGGGGACCAGGCAGTCTTGCAGATTTCCCTGGCTTGGCTTTTTCAGAGCCCTGCTCTACTACCCATCCAATAGATGGACTAGATTTGCATAGGTTTAGGGACCCTTAACAATGGTTACATTGTTAATTCTCACAGGGCTTGTTTGCTGAATGGGTGGATACATCTAACACTTTAGTGCCTGGCATGCATTGTACAGTGCTTTCAGTAAAGCATATGTACAATGTGATGGCACGAAAGTGGTGGATGTAATGCACCTATTCAGGGAACAAGCTCTGCAATAAAATTGAAGGAAGGGATAGGCCTTGCTGAGCCTATCTTAAAAGATAGGGACTTAGGGGTTTTGGTGCTTCTAGATAGGTGTTAGTGTTAATAAAACGAGTGTCTCTGTTTGATATACTTTATTTTTGCTTTACAGGTGGATGTTGTCCTTGGTACTCTGGTTTTCCCTGGCCTTTTGTTGATCTTTGAGTCTTCGGTGGATTGCATCTAGGCGGAGCAGCTTTCCACAACCTGAAAGACAATATTAATGTTAGACTGTAAACTATTAAATAAATATTTCAATGAAACTATATACTGTACTTTATCCTGAAATTAGCAAAGATTCTATCATGCTGGAAATTTCTGATGCAAAGAACTTGTGAAATAACTTACTAGAGTGAAATTAATTGACATCACTAACTTCAGAGTTTTCTGCATGTTATGCCAAACTGGATTAAGCTGATAAGTTTAATTTTAGTAATTAGTTTAGATTTAAGATACTTTGCAAATTAGTAAAGTGTAAAATTAACAATTGTAGGGACTACATTTAAGGCTAAGCAACATTGAAAGATTAGTGGAAGTGTTGTAAAAAAAAATAAGTTGACTTAAATGTCAAACTAAAACATCTATACAATATTGTTTTCACCAATACCTTACTAAATGACAGACCTGGAACACTGGTTCCAGTAATCAAAAGTTAATTATAATGGGCTAGATACTAAAACTTGATAGGAAAGTATGAAACTACCTATTGTCAAAAGTAAAATCCAACTCTGAAAGTTTTAGTATAAGAAACAATATTAGACATGACCAGTCTGCCTTATTATTTCCTGGACTTTGATATGTCTTACTAAATATTTTGAAAATTTCCTTATTCACACCAGACATCCCATAACCACAAATGTTTCAAGCTGATGAATAGAAGTAATTAAGGATAGTAGTGTATTATACACTACCTGTAAAAAGTACCATAAACTGGAAGAGCCTTACAAACTAAAATTTATAATTACCACATGCCTAGAATTTAATCCAAACTTAGAGTTCATTTAAGCCAAAATTACTAAAGTTAAAAGATGTTCATATCAAGTTTATCTAGATTTCAAATGTCACTCAAATCTTCGAAATAACCAACCACAAAACTGTCAGATTAGTTTCACCTCGCATCTGCGAGGTGACAATCATTCAATGATCTTGTAATAACACATTGGTTTGTTAAAAACAAACCTGGTCACTTTTTTGTGGAAATGGTAACCAGCTATTCAAACAAGACTTCTGGTACACATGTCACTTGCTTGCTAAAGCACCATATGAAAGAATAGGAGGGGAAAAACAGGCACAGAATCAATGGTAAGTCAAATTAAAGCGTCCTAAACAGAAATGACTGGAAAATTTTGCGAGATTCATACCACAAGGGTCTAAACCTTATAAATCGATGACATCAAACACCAAGATTTATAGAGTAAAAAAAAAAACAATGATATCGAGGCCTTACAAAGATCTACATGAACTCTAAAAATGGTTACAAGGCTGACAAATTCTTCTTAATATACAAATAACATTGTTCTGGCTCACATGCAAGGTTTTACAATCCATATCACAACAACGAAATAGAACGATGAAATAAGGACCTTCGAGTATGAATCCATCATTCACCAAAAGATGATGCAGTGAAAGGTAAGGTAATTATCAAAAGAAGGCACCAAACCGAGAAGGCTACATAGCACCCTCAAACTGCGAAATAATCAGAGGGCGCTAAATATCACCAAGAATGCCAATACGAGAACAGAACGCATAAGGCGAACGATATCAAAAGTATCCGATTCACCAACAATTCTATCCAGGGACAAGTGACCGCGAGGGGCGGTCGGAAAGCAAGACACGCACATCCTGGAAGTCAGGACATTCAACAAGGATATGCACAACTGTACGAGGGACAACGCAATTTGGACAATAAGGAGCAGGGTGGCGCTCCATTAAGTGACCATGAGTTCAGCGAGTATGGCCAATCAGCAACTTGCTGGAGCAGTTTCCCACCGACGGTTATGGTGGCAGGAGGAAGGACACACTACGTTTGAGAGTACGCAACTTTGTTACCAACTACAGACGACCAACAACCCTGCTAGTGGGCAAGGATGGAGGAATGAATAACAGGATAAAAGTCCGAGTAAGGAATACCTTTATGGGAGATGGGACAAGAAAGGATAGCTTCCTTAGAGGCAGCATCCGCATGCTCATTTAAAGAAACACCAATATGGCTGGGAACCAAGCAAAACTCTACCGATTTAAATGTACTAGAAATAACAAACAGCCAATGTTGAATATCCATGACCACCGGGTGGACAGGATTAAAGGACCCTACAGCCATGAGAGCACTACGAGAGTCAACTACAATCACAAAGGAGGATTGACAATGAGAAAGCAAGAGACGGAGAGCATAGAGAACAGGATAAAGTTCTGCTGTAAAGACGCTAGCCTTCGAAAGGAGGCGACACATATAAGTGCGGTCAGGAAAAAAACAGTAGCCCACACCGTCCGCAGACTTAGACCCCTCGGTGAAGATGGAAACAGAGTGGGAGTACGAAGAAAAGTGCTCAAGGAAAAGGCGTTTCAGAACCCTAGGAGGGGTAAAAGCTTTAGTGATGCGGGTCAAGGGCGTACAAAACTTTGGAAGGGGTACTCTCCACGGAGGCAAGGAACAATACGAGAAGAAACATTAGAAATACGAACAGAAAGCGAGATAACCGGACAGAAAGAGGGAGGCGATGAAGATGAACAGGAACCACAGGAGGAGTCAAAGTTAAAGCACGACAGAGGTGAGAGGAAGGATGTTGTAAGGACCACGCAAGATAGCGAAGATAATAGCGATCACGGCGGTCCTGGAGAGAGAGAAAGCAAGTGTCAACATACAAACTGAGGGCGGGAGTCGAACGAAAGGCACCAGAGCTGTGTGGGGAAACTCCAGGCAGCTAATCTCTTTATTTAAATTGACTTTAATATGATAAAGTTATGTCTTATTTATTTTTCTAAGTAAGAATTAATTGAGTGGACTGTATATACTGGTAAACTGCCTGAAATCTTCTTACACACTAATGGGAGGGATAATTGGTAGCCTAAACCACTTTGTTATGGCTCCTTCTTAAACTACCAATTGTTTACCTTTTATTATTATAATATACCACATGTTGGGTATAAAAATTCGTAATTTCAAACTGCGAATACGTGCAAAGAGCCAGAATTTGGCTCCAAAATATGGCTCAGGCCTCGATATCGGGATGTTTGGGATATTTTGAAAACTGTAGGGGAATTACGACGTTTCATACCGAAAATATGCCAATTACTGAAAACGGCAAAGAGTCATATTTAGCCCAAACCCCCCTGCAGTTTTTAAAATGTCTGAAATGTCGGAAATTTGACTCCTGAGGGTGATTTTTGAGCCGAATTCTGACTCTCTGCACCTATTTTCAAATTCAAATTACGACGTTTCATACCAATAATATGCCAATTACTGAAAACAACTATAGGTCATATTTTGCCCAAACCCCCCTGCAGTTTTTAAAATGTCTGAAATGTCGGAAATTTGACTCCTGAGCGGGATTTTTGAGCCGAATTCTGACTCTCTGCACCTATTTTCCGTTTCAAATTACGAAGTTTCATAACGAAAATATGCCAATTACTGTAAACGGCGATGGGTCATATTTTGCACAAACCCCCCTGCAGTTTTAAAAATGTCTGAAATGTCGGAAATTTGACTCCTGAGCGTGATTTTTTTAGCAGAATTCTGACTCTCTGCACCTATTTTCAGTTTCAAATTACGACGTTTCATACCGAAAATATGCCAATTACTGAAAACGGCGATGGATCATATTTTGCCCAAACCCCCCTACAGTTTTCAAAATGTCTGAAATGTCGGAAATTTGACTCCTGAACGTGATTTTTGAGCCGAATTCTGACTCTCTGCACCTATTTTCAGTTTCAAATTACGACGTTTCATACCGAAAATATGCCAATTGCTGAAAACGGCGATGGATCATATTTTGCCCAAACCCCCCTACAGTTTTCAAAATGTCTGAAATGTCGGAAATTTGACTCCTGAGCGTGATTTTTTATCCGAATTCTGACTCTCTGCACCTATTTTCAGTTTCAAATTACGACGTTTCATACCGAAAATATGCCAATTACTGAAAACGGCGATGGGTCATATTTAACCCAAACCCCCCTGCAGTTTTTAAAATGTCGGAATTTTGACTCTTGAGCGTGATTTTTGAGCCGAATTCTGACTCTGCACCTATTTTCAGTTTCAAATTACGAAGTTTCATACCGAAAATATGCCAATTACTGAAAACGGCGATGGGTCATATTTTGCCCAAACCCCCTCTGCAGTTTTCAAAATGTCTGAAATGTGGAACATTTGATTCCTGAGCGTGATTTTTTATCCGAATTCTGACTCTCTGCACCTATTTTCCGTTTCAAATTACGACATTTTATACCGAAAATATGCCAATTACTGAAAAGAGCGATGGGTCATATTTTGCCCAACCCCGCCTGCAGTTTTCAAAATGTCTGAAATGTCGGAAATTTGACTCCTGAGCGGGATTTTTGAGCCGAATGCTGACTCTCTGCACCTATTTTCAGTTTCAAATAACGAAGTTTCATACCTAAAATATGCCAATTACTGAAAACGGTTATGGGTCATATTTAGCCCAAACCCCCCTGCAGTTTTCAAAATGTCTGAAATGTCGGAAATTTGACTCCTGAGCGGTAAAACAGCGATAGGTCATATTTTGCCCAAACCCCCCTGCAGTTTTCAAAATGTCTGAAATGTCGGAAATTTGACTCCTTAGCGTGATTTTTGAACCGAATTCTGACTCTCTGCACCTTATTTCAGTTTCAAATTACAACGTTTCATACCGAAAATATGCCAATTACTGTAAACGGCGATGGGTCATATTTTGCCCAAACCCCCTCTGCAGTTTTCAAAATGTCTGAAATGTCGAACATTTGATTCCTGAGCGTGATTTTTTATCCGAATTCTGACTCTCTGCACCTATTTTCAATTTCAAATTACGACATTTTATACCGAAAATATGCCAATTACTGAAAACAGCGATGGGTCATATTTTGCCCAACCCCCCCTGCAGTTTTCAAAATGTCTGAAATGTCGGAAATTTGACTCCTGATCGGGATTTTTGAGCCGAATGCTGACTCTCTGCACCTATTTTCAGTTTCAAATTACGAAGTTTCATACCGAAAATATGCCAATTACTGAAAACGGTTATGGGTCATATTTAGCCCAAACCCCCCTGCAGTT